TGTGCATATATAATTACACAACTGGTGTGACTTTACATCATGAACCACCAGAAGAATAAGTTATGCTCCATTTATGTATGATGTGTCAAAATGCATTCTACTGTTATATATAACTAATTAGAACAAATTTCAAAATTAAATTTTAAAAATTTAAGGGATCAAAGGAAATTATTTTAGAGAATGTTCCACCATTCTATGATACCATGTCATCTTAAAACTCATGCAATTCCTCATAGAAATTGGTCTTTGGGATTTGAAATGGAGCTTCATATAGCTTAGCTGATAAACATAAATGTTTCATAATTTCTTTTTTCATTATTCTTCGATGGAGCTGATACTTAACTTTTAATATGAAACATTAGATTTCTTCTCTCTGCATTTCCTCATAGATTTTGGGGATAGTGAACCAAAACAAATGTATTTAGTCCTTTATAGACCCTTCCTTGCCCTAAACAATATAGAATACTCATTTCTGTATGAAATTTGTGAATTACTATATTAATGTGTATATATTATACATTATACACATATGTGTGTGTATTTTAGTATATAAAATATATGTATATTATAGTGAATCCAGAAAAATCAAGTGATAATCAGAAATAAGCAGTCTGATAAGAAGTAACACATCCCAGGAACTTCAAATAAAATATTAGATTATAGAGTAACTTTGAGCAAAAGCCAGGAAACAAGGTATCTATGTAATGAATCCATGTAAAGCTTCAAGATAACTTCTCTATTGGACAGGTTATTCATAGGGATGGAATTCTAGTCAGAAAGAAAAAGCTGAACATAGTATCAGTATTTACTATATATTGTATACAGGACTAATGTGTTTATAATTTAAAAAGTATATTTTCAAAACCTTTTGTCTTGTTATTTTCTCTCCACTATGACTTTCCCATTTTTAGTTTTAAAGATTTGTTTGATATTTTAAAAGTATGTTATGTATTATATCTATTCTCTAAAATAATTTTCTCTCTTAAATGCCAAACATGCTTACTGTGCCACTTTAAATGTTGATGATGAAACAGTTCAGTGCTGAAAGAAGAAAAGCAAAAGGTTGGATCCACATCCACTACACGTGCATGGATAAGTTCCATATGGTTCAAAAATTTAAATGTGAAAATGAAACCATAAAAATAATGGAAGAAAAGATGGGATTATGGAAATTCCATAGTTAATTCCAAATTATTAGGGTAATGATCTCTCAGTAACTGATAAAGAAAATCACTAAGGATCTAGAAGACTTGAACAACACTCTCAACCAATTTAACCTAAGTGATATTTATTTACTGAACACTTCACCAATAATAACAGCATACACACTTTTTTTGTGTGTGCTGGGAATTGAACCCAGGGCCATGTGCATGTATGGTAAGCACTCAACCAACTTAGCTATATCTCTAGCCCCTACATACTTGTTTTTTAAAGGGATCTTAAAGTATTCAATAAGACAGAAAATATCCTTGGCCATAAAGCAAATATCAATAGATTTAAAGAATGAAATCATATAAACTATGTTCTCTAATTACAATGGAATTGAGAAATCAATAAGAGACATATCTGACAACTCCCCAGATGTCTGGTGTAAAAGGAGAAATCTTAGAAAACATTTTTATCTCAAGGCAAATTAAAACACAGTCTACCTAAGTGTGTAAGATACAGCCAACTTGGTGCTAAAGGGAAACTTACAGCATTAAATGCTCACATTAGATAAATAGGTTTCAAATCAATGATTGAAACTTCTGTCTTAAGAAATTAAAAGATGAACAAATTAAACCCAAAGTAAGCAGAAAGAAGGGAATGATAGAGAAGACAGAACAACTTTAAAATATAATACTATACTAATGTAGAAAAATTGAGAAAACAAATTACTAATCTCAGGGACTTAAAGGGCCTATCAATGCAATAATTTTGAAGATTAAAATGAACTGACATGGATGAAATGAAATTTCCTTAAAAGACAGAAACTACTAAAGCTAAATGAGGAAGGAACAGATAACTTAAGTAGCAATATACATACACTAGAAGTTGAGTTCATAGCTAACATCTTCTGACAGAGGAAAATGTAGACCTAACTGGGTTTCATGGTACTTTTCCCAGACATCTAAGAAAGTAATAAAAAGATAGTCCTCACAGCATCGATGTAAAAACCCTAAAAGTTTAATAAGTTGAATCCAGCAATACATAAAAAGAAATGGATTTTATCCCATGAATTCATATTTTAACATTTAGAAGTAATCAGTAATTCCTCATAATAACAGACTAATGTGGGAAAACCAGATGAACTTCTGAATGGATGTAGGAAAAACATTTCTATAACATTCATCCAACATTCGTAATTTTTAAAAAAGTTTTGCAAACTAGGACTAGAATGAATGTTCCTCTAACTTAAAAGAGGTATCTGTAGAATTCTACAGCTGACAGCATGCTGAAGACCAGAAAACCAAATGTTTCCCACTAAGACCTGAAACAGGATGTGGCTGTTTGCTCTCATCTATTCTATTCCACATTGTGCTAGCTGTCCTACTTAGAACAGTAAGGCAGGGTGTTCCGTCCTTGGCATTACTGATATTTTGTTAATTCTTCATCTTGGGGAGCTGTCCTGTGTATCATAGCATGTTTTAGTATTTCTGGCCTCTGCTTACTAAATTCCAGTGGTATCCTTGCCCTACCCCCATCCCCACTCATTGTGACAACAAAACTGTCTCCAGAAATTTCCAATCTTAGAAAAATACTTGAGATAATCAACTTGTAAAGAATGGAAAGCTTTCTTTTTTCACTCCTCGGGACCACTGAGTTGGGACCTGTTACAACCTTTGCAAACTAACTCTGAAGGAAGAAGGAAACAAAACTGTTTTTTTTGTGGGAATTGAGGCTCAGGGAAAGCAAGGTTCTGGTATCCCACAGTTGAAAGAAGATGTGGTGTGCCTTGGGAATATTGGTCATCCTTTATTTGGAGGCAGCATTAGCTCCTATCTAACCCCCTCTCTGCCCCTGCACCATTTCCATAGGCCCTTTTTAAATGCAGGTCAAACAAAGAAGGCAGGCTGCCAACAGGTTACATAAGAGGGCACATGCTCACAAGCAGATTTTCATGACCTTGAGTACATATTC